TGCTCAGTGAAATAAGTCAATCACAAAAGGACAAATATAGTCTTAATTCATTATTGTAAAAAAGTCAAAGAAATGTTTATATATGGAAGGAAATTTTCTGTGTTGGTTACCAGGGGTGGGAGGAGAAAGGAGGGAACACTGCAAAAACAAAAAATTATATAAACACTTGTATAGGAATATTCACAGAACCTTTTTTATTCACAATAGTCAAATGGAAACAACCCAAATGGCTAAACAACAGATGAATAAACAAATCATAGTATATTCATACAGTAAAACATTAGTTAACAATAAAAAAGAGTAAGCTACTGATTTATGCAACAATATGGATGAATCTCAGAAGTACAAGAGCAGCTAATGCATGATTACATTTATATGAAGTTCTAGAATAAGGAAAATTGAACTAAGATGCTAGAAATCAGAACAGTAGTTGTATTGCAGGAGGGGAAAGGAAGCTGACTAGAAAGGGGCATAACAAAAATTTTCATGGGTCATGGAAATGTTATGAACATTGAAATGGGTAGTGGTGATGACATAGATGTATATATCTGTCAAAATGCAACCAATTGTATATTTTAAATCTATGCATTTTACTAAATACAAATTATGTATTATAAAATTATGTTTAATTATTATACTAAGTATCTATTTAAAATGTAAAAGGACTACAGTAGAAGGGCAAGGGCTTAAACTACCTTCCTCCCCAGAGTACCTAAGAAGTATTCCTACTCATAAGAAGTATAGGTATAAAAGCTAAAGTTCCTCCTGAAATGTATAGCTTTGTTCCTAGTGTTATAGTTCCATCTGAAATGATTAAGTCCTATTCAGTGAAATTCCTCTTAAAGATGCAAATTGTCATTCTGTGTTTCCTCATTTAAACAACTAAATGTTGATAAATAAGCTTGAGTTTTTAAACAGCTATTATTTTCACTCCAAAGATAGCTCCTACCATTCCTATTATCAATGATGAAGATATTCCAAAAAGTTAGTAGGGAGGAGGATAAAAAATATTACCGTAGGAAAAATATAATTGCAATTACACCTTGAATTATCTCAGACATTTAGTAACACATTAAAAGTTATTTCATGACCAAAAAGAGAAAGCACTTCATTCATTAATGCAGAGTAGGAAGATAAGCAGAGCATGGTATACATATTAAATAATCAAACTTTCAAATTAAAATTACTACCAAAAAAAAAAAAAAAAAACGCATTGCTGTCAAGTCGGATCCGTGAGTCGAATCCAACAGATGGTAGTGTGTTTTTAAAATCACTACACATGGTCTAAATTATTTTTTCTAATTTTTTAATTATTTATAGAAAAGTCATACAAATACATAAAAACTAAGTTATATTTAGGCATACATTTAACAAATCATATTCATCAAAAAAATAAAATAAAAAATAGGAAACTACAACTGCCTTGAAAAAATCAATGACAATGGATAGGTAGACTAAACATTGTGAAAATGTCAATACTACCTAAAGCAATCTATACATTTAATGCAATCCCAATCCAGATTTCAACAAAAGTCTTTAAGGACATGGAAAAACTAATTACTACTTTCATATGGAAAGAAAAGAGACCTAGAATAAGCAGAGCACTTCTCAAGAAGAAAAAGTGGGAGGTCTCAAACTCCCAGATCTTAAGAATTACTATATAGCCAAAGTAGTCAAAACAGCATGGTATTGGTACAATGATAGACAGATAGACCAGTGGATCAGAATCAAAAGCTCAGACATAGACCCATCCATCTATGAACAACTGATCTTTGACAAAGGCCCAAAGCCCATTAAATGAGGAAGGAATAGCCTCTTTAACAAATGGTGCTGGCAAAACTGGATATCCACCTGTAGGCAAATGAAACAAGACCCATACCTCACCCCATACACAAAAATAAACTGAAGCTGGATCAAAGACTTAAATGTAAAACCCAAAACTATAAAATTCCTCAAATATAAAATAGGGGCAAATCTAAGAGCCCTAATTTACGGCATAAATAGACTGTCAAGCATAACCCAGAATGTGCAGGAGACAGAAGAGAAGCTAGATGACTGGGACCTTTCAAAAATTAAATTCTTGTGTGTATCGAAAGAGTTCAACAAAAGAGTGAAAAGAGAACCTAGAGATTGGGAGAAAAATATTTGCCTATGACATATCTGACAAAGGATTTATATCCAAAATCTACAGAAGACTTCAACACCTCAACACCAAAAAGACAAATAACCCAATTCACAAATGGGCAAAAGACTTGAACAGACACTTCATCAAAGAAGATATGCAAGCAGCCAACAAACACATGAGAAATTGCTCACAATCATTAATCATTAGAGAGATGCAAATCAAAACAACGAGATATCATCTCACCCCAGCAATAATAGCAAAGTTCAACAGATCAGATAGGAACAAATGCTGGCGGGGTTGTGGAGAGATTGGAACTCTTGTACACTGCTGGTGGGATTGTAAAATGGTACAACCATTGTG